GGTCTTGGGATTCGTAGCTTTGTTCTCTGGAATAAAGCGTGTGTACTTAGGCATCTCTAGGCCATTCTTGTTGAGGAAGGATCTATCTGGATTGTCTAGATCTGTCGTTATCGTGTTAAGTAGTCTTCCATATGGGACATTAAAGCATCGGTTGCTGTTTCGTGGATCTAGACACAAATTCTTAAATGTTGTGAGGCAACGCATCCTTTCATATCGCAAATGAGGGTTGTTTAGACATGGGATAGCGAAGTGATGAGATCTTACTCTATTGAGAAGGTTTGGAACTCGTTGAGACAACGTGATAGTGTGATGAAATCTTACTTTGCCATATATATAGGTTAATAGCATTTTATGCCCCTCTATTATTACAAGTTAACAAAAATGCCCCTCTACTATTTTTTTGCATTTTCGTACCCCTTTACAAATGTACCCTTCTGTCACTATTTCCATTAGTTACCGTTAAAATGATAAGTGATATGACTATATTACCCTCTGTTTTACTTATAATATAATTTTTATATTTTTCAGCATAGAAACAGAACTAGTATTTAACTCTTTAATTTATTATTTTATGTCTTTCCCTAATTTCTAACGATGAGGAATCCCAATTCCCTTTGATTTCTTGCCCCAAATTTCTATTGAGGAGGAAGCCTACCCCTCACCAACACGCCGATGTCGCAACCTTTATCTTCATCAAGTCAGCCGCCAACTACTCCACCGGCAACTAGTAGAGAGAGAGAAGAAAAGAAAAAAACAGGGGAATTTATTTATTTTTCAATGGTTTCGAGAGAGGATTTGGTTTGTTGCGGTTCTGATCGGCTCCGGGTTTCTTTCCCCTTCACATGGGCCTGGATAGAATAACAACACTCTTAGTGTTGTTATAATAATAACAGGATTCATTAAGGGTATAATGGTAAAATTTTCAAAAATAATAAATTAAATTACTTATTCCATCGATGAGAATTGAGAAATCGTGGTCGTCTTCCTTGTTCTGCTCACCTCTCCAGACCTTCGTCCTTCCCGCCCCCACCATCGCCACCGTCGTGATCATAACAGTCACCGCCGACCTTACTTTCGATGCCGCTCTGCATTGTGATGAACTTCAACGACTCCAGCAGCAACAGCGATAACGTGGGCACGGTCGCCAAGACGGAGAACTAAGGCCAACAACGATCTTCCCAACCTCCACTATTAGCAGGCTCCTACGTCCCGCTTCTTCCCCGCAGTCGCCGAAAAATAGATTTTGTCATTTCTCCCCGGTTGATGGCCTCCTCCATTGTAGATCTCGGCCTATTTCATTGATCTACCATCGGGGAAAGGAGAGGATGATCAGGCAACTAAAACAAGCCCATTGTTGCTGCAATAGGAAACGACGGCGTTTTTAGCTTATGAACTTATGCGGCGTCGGTGGGGAGAGTTGCAGCCGGTCGAATGAGGATGATGATGATGGGTCGCAAGACGGCGTGAGATCATGCATTATATGTTACGAGGAGGAACACAATTCGTTCTTAAGATACGAAGAATTGTGCAACCTGCCTTTTTGTGCCCGCGTGAATCAATATTGATATGTAGCTATTGCTCTTTGAAATTTGAATTTGTTTCTACTCTGTGTGTTTCAATTTTTCCAATTTTATGAGTTGTTGTACAATATTAATTATTAAGATGATAATAGTTGGAATGTAAATGGATTTATTTCTGAGGAATGATTTGGAGCATTACTAATGTTATAAGCACACCAGAAATCTCATAATACAAACCACAGACATGGTAATATAAACCACAACAAGTATATTAGAAACATCCTGATACAGACCACAAGTCTCTTAAAACATACTAGAAATACCATAAAGTGAACCAAAAATATTTCTAAAGCACACCGAAAATCTCCTAATACAAACCACAAAAAAACACCTTAAACCTCCCAATGCATACCACAAATCAGCTAAAACAAACCAGAAACCTCACTAAACAAACTATAAATATTTTATAACCACACCAAAAATCTCACAACCCAAAACCACAAACACGATAAAGGAAACCACAAAAAGCAAACCATAAACCTCCTAATGCATACCACAAATCCCCTAAAACAAACCACAAACCTCACAAAGCAAACCACAACATTTGCGAAAGCACACCAGAAACCTCATAATGCAAACAACAAGCACGGTAAAACAAACCACAAGAACAAACCAAAAACCTCCTGATGCATACCACAAATCTATTAAAACAAACCAAAAACCCCTTAAAGCAAACCACAAATTTTTTAAAGCACACTAGAAACTTCTCAATGCAAACCACAAACACGATAAAGCAAACCACAAAAGGCATACGAAAATATGAGAAACCAAACCATAAATCTCACAATGTAGACCATACATCCGGTGGTCGTTGACCGGTCAACGAAGAGCGTTGACCGAACTGCGGTGACCGTCAGTCAGTAGATTCCGACGCCGATAGGCATATTCCGGCCCCGATGACTAGATTCCGACGCCGGTAAGCATATTCCGACCGCGGTGAGCATATTCCGGCGACGGTGGCATATTCCGATGACAAAAAGCATATTCCGGTGACCGACGACCAGTTTCCAGCGACCAGTGGCAGAATTCCGGCGGCCAAAATTTTTGGCCGAAAATAAAAAAATTATTTTTAAATTATTTTTTATTATTATGTAAACATATTTTTCATAATGACAATTATACCCCTGCTTTGATTTTACACTAGGTCAACTCATCTAATAAAAAGTCATCACAACCTTAGCTTCCTATTGGTTGGAAACTAGTGTTGTTATAATAACAACACAAGGAGTGTTGTCATAGTATCTAGTCCCCCTTCACATCATCCTCCAATGTGTTGCGAAACCCTTAAGTTCTTGTATGTAAAATTATTAATGCTCTCACTTGGGTCTTAGTGCTGGAGAAGAGTTGAGCGAAGGAGAGAGCAAGGGGAGAGACTGAGAAGAAGATTTGTCGCTGCCAGAATGGAAGAGCTGCGACGGCTGGTGATGGCAGAGCAACAGGGAAGAAACAAGCTCGCCATTGATACTCATCGGACGCCTACTGGATGCCAGAGGAAAAGCTTGGCATCGACATTGCCAAAAGTGAAAATGAAGGGGGACAGTGGTGAAGGTATACGAAGAGTCGAAGACAAAAAACTTGGATTGGATTCCTCTTCCACAGAAAGGGGAAACAAAAATAAAAAAAATTAAATAATATATTATAAGTTAAATAGAGGGGCAATGTAGTCTTTTTACATGTCATTTAACGGAAAACTAATGGAAATAGTGACGGAAGGGCAACTTTGTTATGTTGCAATAATAAAGGGGTACGAAAGTGCGAAAGAATAGTAGAGGGGCATGTTTGTTAACTTGCAATAGTAGAGGGGTAAAAAATGCCATTAACCCTATATATATATATGTATGTATGATGACTTCTATCGTCCACTAGGCAAAATCTGGTGTATGTCGTACACCAGACAATCTCCACCGTCCGCGTCCATTTCAACAACCAACATATATATGAATGACTTGTTTGATTTGATCAGTAGAGTTTGTAGTAGGCGTCGACCTTTAACGTGATGGTTACCGTTAGATAAAATTTGGACGGTGTCAACGCTTCCAAACGGGAAGCCCATTAGCACAGTAACTGGTCACTGCCGTCCCCTCCTAGCTTCAACTTGTCAGTTAGTTATGTGTGGTCCCCAAGGTTGTTAAACCCCTATCGAACCCTCGGTTGGACCCGGTCCGACCCGAGTCGAGTTTCAAAACAGCCTCCAGAAAACCCTCTGGTCTGACCCCTAAAGAGGGAGAAGAAGAAAGAGGAAGAGAGGAAGGGAGATGGTGGGTGGATCATGGAGGTTAGGTAGATATATTTTGTGTAAAATAATTTTTTAATATATATATGTAAGATAAATTTTATTTCGATTATTAAATCTTTAATTACTATCTTATTTGTATATACATTTAGAAATATAAAAAATGACTCAAACCGGCTGGACTCCAATTATACCATTAAACTCCAAACCCCTTACTTAACCGGCACAATGACTTAAAACGGTTTGACAACCTTAATGGTCCCGGAACAATCGATGTGCTGAAAGAAGAAAGACAAGAATCCGAACTCCAAAGCTAACTGAACTGAACATGTTTCCCTTGTCAGCTTTGGTAGGAAAACGTAACCGTCGGCAATTGAAAACTGCCATGATGTCACAAGCAAGACAAATAATGGTCCCATGAAGAAGGCCGCTCATTAGATTTTCTTTCGGTTGATTGCTTCCATTGATTTAATGCTATTATTACCAGAAATATGATGCAGCTAGTAAGTCGATTGTAAATTGTCCAGCAAGATGATACGCAGAGAAACAGTTGCAGACATAAATTCAACCGTGGCCTCAATTTGTCATGCTTTCTCATTTGTGTTTTTTTCTTAGAATTTTCTTAGAGCATTTTTATTGGTGCAATGACATTTGTAATTGCATTTGTTTTTTTTATTGTTACTTCATTTTTTTGCAATCCAACTCATCTTACTTGCATTGCACCACATCAATGCAGTTAATTTGCAATTGTAACTAATTTTTTTATTTAATTTATTAAAACATAAACACTCAAATAATAAAATTAATGAATAATTTAATAATAAAAAAAGATGATGTGGCTTGCTAATAGAAACCCGCGATATATAGTTATTATTAAGGTAGTTACCAGTAAGCCTAGTAGTCTAGTCGTTTAGTCCAATTAGGTTAATCGTTAGGGTTTTTCCAGTCTTTCATTATAAATATGTACTTTGGGTTTTATTCAGAATCAGTCAAGAAGAATATTAAGAACAGCCTTCCTAAACCCTATTCTCCTAATCCTCTCAATTCTCGTTCTCAAACCCTCTAAAGGGCTAGGCCGATTCTCTATCGTTCTCTTCTCAAATCCCTAATTCTGTTCTTAATCCCTAAATCCCCAATTCTCGATAGAACCCTAATCTCAGGTTCTATCATTTGGTATCAGAGCCACCATGAGCTCGATACGGCTCTCTGATTTGGACTGGACCTGTGTGCAACAACGGATTGACGCCATCCGGGCTGACCAAGCTCGCGTCGCGCGCGAACAAGCCCGGGAAGTTGTGGCTGCCGCGGCGGTGAGACGACAAGAGGCGCCGCCGGCTGGGGCGGACGGCCGGCCGAGGCAGCGGGCGATGGGAGGAGACCGTGGGGTCGTGGCCGCAGCGGCGGTGCGGCGGAGTGAGACACGCTGCCCGTGGCGGATGACGGCGGGCTGGTGCGGGCGAAGAAGGAGGGCGAGCGCGGTGTACCGCGGCAGACCAAGTCGCTCGACCAGGCGGGCGCGGCTGCGGCACGACTGCGAGATGCGCCGAACGAGACAGGGGAGAAGAGCGTGCAACATGGTGGCGCGTTCAGGGAGGGCGATGAGGAGTCGACGATAGTGATCTTGGCCAATTCGTTGGGCAGAATCACCTCACTAGTTGACTTCGGTAAGGAAGACCCGTGATCAATTTCTTTAGCAAACCGCCACAGTTTCGGGAGGTTGCAGTAGCCATGGACGTCGCCGTGGAATTCGTTTCCAAACAGCTAGAAGCCAGCGAGGAGGGACAGCTTTATCTTCCCTCGACAACTCTAGTGTGGTCGGCGGCCATACCCGTCAATCCAGGTTGTAGGAGAGCAAAGTCCAAGGCAACGAGGGTTAAGTTTCGTTTGAAAGTTGGGGCGGTGATTGTGAAGGTTAGAAGTGTGGGTTTAACTAAGTGTTGCTCCATGGAAGTTTAGGAAGAAGAAAGCGCTGCCGACGATAGGAGCCTCTCTGGTGGTGGAGAAAAAGATGGAAGCCCCACTAGCGAGAAAGATGGGGACGGTGGATTTGAGTTTGAGGGACAACGCACAGAAACGTCAGCAATCCGCTGAATCGGGCTGGGAGAATGGGGCCGGCGGGCCAAGAAAAATGGAGATGGGTCGATCTGAGAGTGAATCTTGGGATGGAGGAGAGCAAGCTTGGTCATGAAGAAGGTCGTGTTGGGCTTTTTCTGCGTCTTCCGTGCCAGCAATGTAAGCTGAAAAAGAAGGCCTCTGCTGCGATCGAGGGGAAGAGGGAGCTCAAGACACTTGCAAGTGGCGGGTTGCATAGTAGCTCAGGTATGGTGGATGACGAAAAAGAACAGGCGGTCACGGGGTCACCCATCGCCATTCCCTCATCGATGTCCACGATAGTAAAAAAGGAAGATCACCCTGCACAAAATGGGGTTTCCAAACTTGGAAGCAAAGGCGGCAAAATGAGGGGTTACGAGTAGAAGCGTAGGAGGAATAATGTAAAAGGGGTGTTTCCTTGCAAAGTCACAAGGAAAAAAGAAAAAAAAAAGAGCAGCAAGAAGCTTTTGGGGAGCTAGGCTCCATTTCCTTGGCACGCGTAGGGAGAAGGTGGAAGGAGGTGAGTGATGGAAGAGGCTGCATTCGTGGAGAAGGAAAATGGTGGTTGTCTCCCATGCAAGAAACGTGGCCTAGAATAAGATGGGGACACTCGGGGAACTTGTTTGGTTCAAAAGCATCAGCTGCAAATGATTTTGATGGTACCTATAGCAAAAGTTTGGGGACTGCAGCTACTTGTGCTAAAAGCTTAATTCGAGTGGTTGAACGAAATTGAAAGAGAAGGAAGTGTGGACCCCAACTGAATCATCAGCAAGAGGATTTGAAGTGTAGAGATGGAATTGAGTACAACCTTGAGGACAAGGTTGTTTTCAAGGGAGAGCGGATGATAGAAACCCGCGATTTCTATTATGGCATTATTACTATCGTTATTATTAAGTTAGTTACCAGTAGGCCTAGTAGTCTAGCCGTTTAGTCGAATTAGGTTAATCGTTAGGGTTTTTCCAGTCTTTCATTATAAATATGTACTTTGGGTTTTATTCAGAATCAGTCAAGAAGAATATTAAGAACAACCTTCCTAAACCCTATTATCCTAATCCTCTCAATTCTCGTTCTCAAACTCTCTAAAGGCCTAGGCCGATTCTCTATCGTTCTCTTCTCAAATCCCTAATTTTGTTCTTAATCCCTAAATCCCCAATTCTTGATAGAACCCTAATCTCAGGTTCTATCACTTGCATTCCATAATTGCATTATATGCAAGCTTGCAAAGATGCAATTGTCATCTACATCAATGCAATTGCATATATATGCAATTGCAAATGAATGTGATGTTATAATGCAATTCTAATTGCAATTCCAATGGAGATGTTCTTAGATGATACACTTATAACCTGTCGGGACATGTCAGGAAGTGCTCTCCCCTCTTTGCCAACAGCAAGAGAGCAGATGTAAAAACTACGGTGGTTAAGAACAAGACATGAAAAGATTCGGTAAGCTTGCAATCATGAGGGGGTGTTAACAACATGTTAAACCATGAGTCGTAATAATCATGGTTTTAGTTATTATTTTGTAGTTGTAGTCTGTAGGACTACAACTCCGACGAAATCATAGGTGTAACTGCAATTTTTTGTAGTTGTAAAACTACTACTCCAACATACAACTCATGGCTAATATTGTGTTATTCCCCATTGAGTTAGCACTTAGCACATTATCTGATGCCGTTGCGACGATAGAACTTCACTTAGCGGGAAGTTTGAGAGAACCACTAAAGACAACTCCGCTCATTTCTACTTTCGTTAGTCGTTAATAAATCGACGAGGATGACCTTAAGATTCTATATTGCTCACCATCGTTTTAACTGAACGAGATCAAGCCGGGGAATTAACAACTTGCAATCAATACACTGACCAGTGACCATACACCTCATATACATTCTACATATAGACACCGAAATTAGAGATAATATATATATACCCAAATAAAAAGAGTTGAGGAGATCCTTATTTCCAGAGCTTCACTGAGCAGTCGTGACTGGCAGAGGCCACCATTCCGGTGGCGGAAGACTGCGCCACCGCTGAGACGATGTTGTCGTGAGCCGGAATCGTCATGCTCTTATTCTCCGCCATATTCCATAGCTCTAGTGACTGCGGGCATCCAGTGGCAAAAGGATAAACCAGAATCAGGTTCCGGTCATAAAGTGGCAAAATATGGGTTGCTTTAATTTATTAAGCTTTGTCAAGGAATTCCGATAATAAATAAATAAAAGAACAAATAATCAAAGGAATTTAAGCTTACGGAGATCCCTCCAATAACCAAGAGAGATGAGTAATTGGGATGGAACACGCAGGAATGGAGCTGGTTCCCATTGGAATTAAACTCCTGAACACAGTCCCCTGTGGCAAGTGACCAAATTTTCACCAAGTTTTGGCTCACGGATGCGAGCAGCCCTCCACTTGCATCCCAACAAATGTAGTTTACCATTTCATCATGACCCTGCAAATATGAAATGGAGACTCAATGATAGATAGATGCAACCCAACCCATTGTCACGGGCACTTCACATAACTATCTCAGCAGTCGCATGACAGCACCGAAACAATAACCCACAAACTTTGAAATATGCCATTACCTGAAACGCATGTGTTTGCCTATCTGTTTCTACGTCAAAGATGGACACTATTTTATCTGATGCAGCGGCCAGCAGCTGACCCATTCCTGGTTGAAATCGCACTTGCGCATTACCTCCCTAAATAAATAGTTCATTCAGAACATCAAAGGTGCGGCTAGCTTATGGTGAGTAAGGAAAAGAGAAAGATAGTTATCAACATATCAACATTAGGAAAATTTAAACAGACAGGTGATAGTTCAACTACACAAAGCAAGCAAACCTTGGAAATACGAGTGCATGAGAAAGGACTGATATTCCAATAGTGAATCTCGTTATCATTATCACTAAAACAGAAAAGATCTGTTTTCTTAGGATGGAAGTCAAGGGACATGATGGGTGAGCTGTGCCCAGTACAGGCATGCAGGCAGTAGCTTGGCTGCACATCAGAACTCAAACGACATGAGCTGCGGTACTTACTAAACACTGCTCATGCTCAACTTGTAATCAAAGGAAATGAGATAGCATGAACATGAGCTATAACTTTCAATCAGTAAATACGGAAGGAATAACCAAATGTATGTAAAGAACATGAAACACTTACATCAGAAGCATCCCACAACCGTACAGATTTGTCAACTGATGAAGTTGCCAACTGAGATGAATTGGGCCTAAACCTGATGTCGGTAATGATCAATTTGTGCTCCTCAGGAGTGATCTGAGTTTTCAGGGTATCCATATTCCAGAGGACAACCTAAATCAATAAGAAAGAATGTCATTATTTCTGGATTCGACTTTTTACTTATATGAAAATGGTTATTCACGGAAACACTTCCTGACTTAGCAGTTCGAACCATTTATTCCTTGTAGCAGATTATTATATGAAAAAAAGGTCAATCAATCGACTTTAGACTTCCAACTGTAAATGTATATTTTTAATCTATGAAATGTTCAATTTAATGCTCTTCTTCGAATTGGTTGTTGTACTTGATTGAACGTATGTTTATACTTTAACTGCAGATGCAAGCCTATTACTCAAACATGGATCTTTATCCAGCCCAAGCTTCCTACCTTTTTATCATGACCAGCACTTGCTAGCAATTTACCATCTGATGAGAAGTGACAACAAGTGACCTTGCTATTTCTAGTCCGTATGCAACCAACCTCTCCGAAAGTAAATCCTGTGAAAAAAGATGTAGCGAAATAATCAGGCTAAAAAAGCTGCAATGAACAATCCACATACGTTCTATACTAGGGGTTTATACCTTTAGAAGAATCTTTTTGATGCTCCGCCGGGGTCTGTCTCATAGCTCCATATAGATCTCTTCCATCTCCATTCAGGAGCTGTTCTATATTATCATCTAGAGAAGCAATATCTCCAAATTTTTCTATTTCATCCTGCATGAAGAACCAATGTCTTTAGAACCATGGTACTGGGAGGGTCATAAACGCAGCTTGACTTTATTGGTAATATTGGTAACAGTGAAATGCTGAATAAGACAGAAATCCATTATGCAATAGCAAGATTGTTATTTTGACGTATAATTCTCAGAATTAGTTGAGTTCACACCAGCATATTGGAAGATGAAAGGCCCCCAGTTCCGTCTTGACCATACATCATCAAGCTTTTGGGTGTGCTGTTAACATGTTGCAAGTTACTCGTTGTGGCCATTCCATCACCAGGAGTATGAGTTGAGGGAGGAGAACAGGGAGGACCCACTGTATTTCCAGTACCAGTGCTGTTAGCAGGTCCAGAAGAAGAGTGTTGTTTTCTTTTCCTATTGTTCTGCAATCATTAGTGGTTTGTAACAAATAACAGCCCGCTGGTGAATGTCACATTCTTTGAGGTGGCAAAAGAAAAGTAGAAAATAATTCTACCAAGAACCATATCTGACTTGCCATACAGAAGGACATTTGCTGAACTTTAACCTGTTGTATTTGCTGTTGTACTGGCTGTTGCTGGTGCTGCAATTGGTCCTGCTGTTGAGAGGAAGACTGCTGCGTCTTTATCTGTCAATACAAAGGAGTGAAGTTATAGGATATATTAACAAGTGCAGAAGCACAAACATATGAGCTTCAGAAAGGTTGCTTAAAGAATGAAATAGTGAAAGGCTAACCAATAATTCCGAACTCCGCTTAAACTAAACAGGGGCTCTACAAGACAGATTTATACATGTGGATATAAACACTGGTTCATACGTATTAGCTAAAGCAAGTATGAGAGCAACTGCAAATGTGCAGACCCAAATAACATGAAGCTTTAACATGCATGAAATCGCGAAGAATATTGAATTATTCAAAGATTCAGGATCCTTGCTGCTTTAAACATTTTCACTAAATATGTACTTGTCAAAATATAGAGTGAGAGACTGATCAGACTTCATTTGAAGGAGCTAAAAAAAGAGCAGGAATATGTTGATTTTGAAGGGGAAGGGTTCAAAGTTGACAAGTAGGCAAACCCTTGGGGAACTTGATTGCACAGGTGAGCAAATTGGCCCATCATTTCTTGTTTGTTGGCCATCTTTTATGTTGAAGCTACCTCGGGCCATCTGACTCAACCTTCGAGGGTCAATATCACCATAATTAGTTGAGTTTCCATAGTTACTCTGAGCTTGAGCCTGTGCCAGCACCTGCTGTTGTGATGCCAAGAGATATTGATTTTTTGGTTGGAGATTGGACTTCTGCATCTGTATGCCCAAATTTGGATGCAGTTGGTCAATTCCCTGTTTCATTTTGCATACTTACGGTTATAGACAAGAAGTTAAAAAAAAAAAACAAAAACAAAAACAAAACAAAAAAAATAATCAGAACATTAACCATAGTAAATTAAGAATTAATCATGACTTACAGTTAAAGGCCAACCCTTCAACGGAAGACCAATTGCTCCCTGATTTACACCTAAACAAATAAAGAACATCATAATTTTTAGATGTGTACCAAAAAGCGTAGCCTTATTTCATTAGTAACTTCACATGATCCTGTATAGAATTCATAAACAGACAAGCAGTGAAGTGAACCACAATCACATCCTGATTTTCCTCCCCATTCCCCACTACTACAACAAACTTCTTTTATTTTAGATGATGTTGGCTTCAAGTCCGAACTTGGTGTGTGCTGGATGTTTATTAGAACAAACTTTTAAAAGGACTAAACAATTTACCATTTATATCTTAAGGAAATATTTAACCTAACTGAGCAAACAATAATAATGCTTAAATATCTCTAGAACAGAGAAGAAAAGTCAATGTTTTCTTAATACGTAATGCAAGCAAAACCAATAAAGAGGCAAACAGGGAATAGAGCATCATCTCAAAGTAGGATCAAGAAGTCCAATGACTCAGTGAGGGGGTATGATTAGAATATATGCAATGCTATCAGCACAAGTAAGACTTTTTCTCAACTTCTATAGGCAAGTATGGTTTGCCCAGATTGATGACACTTAAACGAAATGCACTCGTCATTAACTGGCATGCGATAATAAATGCATGCGTGAATGGAATATCAACAAACAAGTTGTAGCAGCAAAGAGAACCAGTATATCTTTTCCCAGCCCTGAAACTTATGGAATCAGCAGAGGAACTGACAATATCCATCATCCAAGAGTCGGATCAATATGTACAACCCAACAAAAATGATTTTGCATTCATTGACAACAAACTAAATCAGTAACAGGAGAGAGACCAAGCGGAAATTCATTCGTAATAGTACCTGCACCTAGTCCAGATTTAGAGTGCAATATTGCCTGTCCATAAATGGACGATGGATCCATCGGTAAACTTTTCTGAGTTGGACCCAAGTTAACTTCAGTTTTGATGTCCTACAAATCCAAGAATTAAACTTAGATGTAGTGAAACAGCAAAACTATAGCATCAGAAGAACAATTAAACTTAATTAGATCAGTTCCAGGAAATTACTGGGGTCGGTGGACCTCGTGCATGGATTTGCTGCAAAGCAGACGAGACATTCCCGGTACTACCCTGCACCAGTTGGCTGAAGAAGAATAAAAACCGAGTCAGTACTCTGTAGAATTAACCCATTGCTTCAAATCAGAAACAGAAGGCAATTTACCCTTGATGATTAGCTCCAGCTTTTACAAGGGCCATTCTGTTGGCATCAAGGAGCGTTGGTGATGTGTCCAAGTCCACAGAATGTGGGTGCTTCATTCGTTCTTCATATAGTTTCATTGCCAAGACACTTGCTGATGGTTGGCCAATCAATCCTTCAGAGTTCACAGCGGTTGTAGAACCAGTGAGAGCTGGATGACTAGGATCCCGTCGTTGCATCTGTGCACTCCGCTGCTGCAATAAGTGCAACTGTTGCAATTGTAGCTGTTGTTGCTCCCTCGCCTTAACATGTTGTGCCTATAATATAAAGCACATTTTGAGTGGGCGTGGAGCAAAATGCGGACAAGCGGCAACTTCCATTTCCTTAAGAAAGTGTCAGAAAAGCACATCGAGAAGTTAAAGCACCTCTATATAAGCTGCAGCAGCCTCGGAATGCTTCTCATTTGTTCTTGCAATAAATATGTCCCAAAACACAGACCACCATTCAAACAGAAAGCCTCCAGGTGCGTCAATTGCTGCACATGATATTAGATGGCGTATGGAACGAAGAAGAAAATTTTTAGCAAGCAGAATGGGGGATACATATAGGTCCCTTATAACTGATAAATAGCATTACCATCTGTTCCAGAAGAACAGAACAAAGAAAATAGAGCATTACCCATTAAATACTTTGGTTCTCATATCCTTACCTACAGGGTCTGTAGCAACCTTCCCCTCCGTCATAAAAGCTTTAGCAGAGTTATGCAATTTTCTCTTCAACAGGTAATCGTGAATGTACACGTCAAGCCTAGAGCAAAATTGCCATCAGGAGATAGCTAACAAATCAGACAAATCCCATATTCACAGACATAATGACGTGCAAAAAGCATAATCCTCCATAATGGAAAGTATATGACAGAGAAAGAAAGACGAAACACACATCTTATCTGCCTCCCAGCTGCTCTGCGCCATGGCTTCACCTGGGAGATGAATGACAATCAATTACTGCTCTTAATCTGCCAGAGAAATTACAAGAGATCCCAAACTAAAACTAAAATAACAACGAACTGAACTTAAAAAACAGAAATAAGCTCTGATTTCCATATGAAGCCCAATTCTTGCAATAATAGAAGATCGGATCGGTTGTCTTTTGTGACACACACACACACTGTTTGGCTAAGCTACTAGTAGACAGCCGGAATGTTAGCCAGCTCAGAGCAAGCGAACAGGTATATAATGTATAGGATTCTCAGCAACCAAACAGACCGGATAGTAAGAAAAAAAAGCAGCTGGCCGTCACCGAGAAAAAGAAAAGTGAATTAAAAACAAAAACTCACGCAGTTGAGCTCCTCTCGTCAGAGCTACAAGCAGCTCAAATCCTCATAATCGAACCCTAAAAATCCCTCCGCTATTGACAGAAGAAACACCATGAGACTGCGAGACACGGAAATTTCTTTTCACCACGAGAGAGAAAAAGCAAAAGTTAGAATCCCGTACTCAGCGAGTGGTCTGCGTCCACTAGCAATTTTTTTACAGAAAGTATAACTGAAGTGATCTCTTGGACACCTTTCTGTTTTACCAGAACTTTCTCAAGCCCTTGTCTAGAGAAAGTGAGCCAGCTGAAACTTCGAGTGAGGGAAATCGAAGCGAGTACTGTATCAGAAAGAGAGAAGAAGTGGTTGAGTGAGTGAGTGAGTGAGTGGGTGAAATCAGCTGCTGTGCTCTGTTTGAGGTGGTATTCCGTGAAGCCAACTGACAAAGTCTGACTATAAATTTAAGAAAGAAAAAGGCACACCGAAGTTGAGCCAGGTCCCACAGCCCGCCTTTGGTATTTATAGCGATGTGGTTCGGAATTCGGACGGCAGGCTCGGAGAAATGTTAAGTATGAAAAACAAGTTGCCAAGCCGGCTTATTTCGTTATATTAGTTTGAGAAATGTTATATCAGTTCATTCTGGTTTTAGTAAAATATGTAGTTCTTATAAAAAAAAAATGTAGTGAATGGAAAATGATTAACCCTTGATTTTTATATTTGAGGATAATTCTCTGAAATCTACATTCATATTTAAATAAAATAAAATATTTAAAAAATATCATATTTAAATATTATATTTGACGCCAACATAAATGAATTACAATTAAATTCAAAAAATAAAATACACATCTAAACATTCATGTTTGAATCAAACAAATTTCATAAATAATTTAAATTTCAAATTCGACAAACAAATGAAAAAAATTATCAATTAAATTCACCAAAACCGCTCATTTCGTTTAAAGGTAAGAAATCAGTCATGTTGTTTATACCAGTGATATTTCAGTCAACCAATATTGATTGAATCAGGTTGTACTAACAAATATGTCACCAATATGACAACCATGATTGGAAGACATTAAATTGGCCAAAAAATTTTAGCTCCAACTTTGATATTTGGCAAGTGTCATTGGTTATGGATTTGTGTATAACTAGATTGGATCGCTTTAGTTTTAAGTGGAGTAGATCAAGGGATTAGATTAAATTAATTTTTTTATTTACCCTACTTTTTTTAATCGACTTGTATCTTTTTTGTTTTCATCCGAATTTTAAACAATTTTGCACAAATGAAACGAGTTCATTGTGATGTACAAAATGATATCCATTTTCGATATATTTCTGATGACACGTAGAATGAGCTATTCTAGACCCCGTCTTATGATCTAAAGTGCATTCATTTCATATCATTATCGTCATAATACCCTACATTTACGCTACGATTGCTTCAAGTGTGTTTTAGCAACCCTAGGATAGCTTTTACGAGTTTGATGCGCTTTTGGTAGCGTTTTGTGCATCTTCAAGTCAATGCAGACTAGTGGACGACTAGGTAATCATAGAGGACGTTGAGATCAAGTTGCTAAAGCCGAGAATAGAAGAGAGTGCGAACTTAAAGAAATGGCACCTAAAATAGTGCCTCGAAAAAGAAAACAACGTCGTAGCCGCCATTTTACGAAACTCCTCTACTTCGTCAAAAAGTTCCATAGGAGCTTCCTAATTCTCTTGCCCCGTGTTTGGAGGCTTTTGATTGGCCGGATGACGCAGGAGCGACGATTTTTCCTCCTTAGAAATCCTAATCGAAGACCTATAAATAGAGCTCTAGAGGTAAAACTCACTAGGTTGAGATGAGAGGTCGGGGAATGGTTGTTACTCTATCAATAGAGCAACCCACCTAGCTTGGAGCCAAATCATCATTACATGAGGAATCGACATCAGAAACGGTATCCTTGGCCCTATTTTCTCTACTAAGTCTTATCAATTCTAGGCGTGTTCTGGGGACTTCATATCAATCAATGATCTCTTAGAAAGCCTTCCCCGTGGTTGGCTAGTTTCTTTAGTTGCGTAGGTATGTGAACCCTAGGGTTCTATTCATGCATATCTCGATGTTTGGATTAATACGATTATTTTATATCATATGTGTTGATGCTTGATTTCCCCTATTTCTTTGTTCTTTTTATTCAAATGAGAACTTAGTTGACCTTGCACTCCTTTGAGGTGCAAGGATCTAAATCCGAGTCATTTAGGACTATGACTCAAAATGGCGGTACTATTCGATCAAACGGTATATGACGCCTCAAGGGAGAAATCTGCAGGATCCTTGTCGCCCATTAGTTCGAGTAAATGCTTCGACACAAGGTGAGATCTAACGGAATAAGAAATCGACAGCTCATATGTTGCCCGATATCGAGGGATACATGACCAGGAGACCTAGGGGAGCTTGCCTACGCAACACGGCTTCCTTCTCTGCTCTCTCATCCATACAACTAGCTTAGATTTACTTTTATGCACTTTTAGTTTTCACCATGACAGCAGCTTCTAAATGCTAGAGTTCACCAGATGGGAGTCATCACTAGCTTGTCCGGCGGTCTTAGACACGAGTTCAGATGACTGACTATGGTCTAGGATATGGGGAAAATTATTTTTAGGTGGTGGCACAAGTGGTACGAGGTTCCACAATTTCACCTATAACCTATTCACAACGACCAAAGCCCACTCACAAATGATTTGGGCTCATTTATACACTTTTTCCCCCGATTTGCTTAGTTGTTCGAAGCATTTTTACTCCGGGAGGTTTGGTTTTACACCGGGTTTGCCTTGTTTTGGTGGTTTGCAGACTTTGACAGGTGGAACCAACCCAAGAGTCGAAAGTTAGCCGAAAGGGCAAAAAATCAAGTCAAAGGGTGGAAGTAGCAGCAGATCACGGTTTGGCTGTGTGTTCACGGTCACTAAGACCGTGAACTAGGGGCACTACCCGTGAACAGCCAGGCATCCAGAGCCCAAATCGCTTTCATTGGGCACAAGTCAGTTCACGGTTGTAAGACCATGAGCTCAGGCCATTGCCCGTGAATAGGACTTAGTGATGCGGCGCGTTTCGACATGAGATCACTGTCCGGGCTTTCAGTTCCCGGTTGTGAACTGTAATCGGGATCTGAGCTCGATTTGGGTATATAAATGAGGTTGAGCTAAAGGGAAAAAGGGGAGAGACCTACTGTGAGAAACTTCTTTTTCTTCAGATTTCTAGAGTGAGAAAGTGATGAACCAAAGAAGATGAGAAGCTAGGGTTTCATCTTCAAGCAAGGATTTTGGAATTCCTCCCCCAAAGGAAGATCTCTTCAACATAAGGAGCAAGGCTAGCATCTCATTGATGGTTTTCCTTCTTCTCTCTTGTATTTTCCCTTCTCCTAGCATGGAGTAGTCTATTCTTTCACTTGGGTGTTTCTAAACCCTAGCTACAATTATGTGAATGCTTGTATGGGTTGAATGATTTGTGTGTGGTTGTATTTAATGTGAATGTGAGGTATTATTCATGAATGATTGTGTTGTGTAAAAGCCTATAAATCTATTTGCCATTCTAATTCGTATTAGCACCTAGGGTTTGGTTGTGGGTGGCCACCCAAACTCCGATTCGAGGGTGAAGTCTTGGAAACCCTTAGTCAATAGGTCGAGAGAGTCACATTTGTGGCTTCAATCGAATTCCCTCGACCTACAGAATGAGAAAGTGGCATCTGGCTACATGTTGCACTTCCCTACGGTTTACAACCACCGTACCACACGTGACCATTTGATCTGACAAGGCATAATTGTTATCTAGGGGGGGAGCAACACCCGAGTGAAGCCTTCTCAATTAGTGTCATATCCATTTACTTTTCCAAATGTTTTAGCTATAGATCGTTGTTTTCACATAAAAATCAACCACTAGATAATGTTTCAAACAATCAAAGTATGGGTACGTGAACCGGCCCGGGTCGACAATTAAACATACTTGCCCTATATTGCACCCAATTAAGGTTTATACTTGGGCCTTAATTGGGATTATTATTGTGGTATTCGAGATGAGTCATGTTTTTGGCGCCATTGCTGGGGAACAAACGGTTCATTATTTTGAAAAGGAAGTTGTAGTTGATCTAGCTTTTACTTTTCGCTTTTGAGTTTGTGAATCTTGCTTGCTAGACGTGTTGTGGTTCTTTTGAGTGCGTGCAGGGAAGTGTATGAACCGGAGTAATGTGACACCTTTGGCGCCACTAGACGAGATACTCAACTGCAATCTCCGGCACTTGGCTCGTGAGAGGGAACTGGCAGAGGCAAGAAAGAGGATAGAAGAGGAAGTTGTAGTTGAGGAAGGGTTTGATTCTGAAGAGGAAGGAAGTGTAGCCGAAATGGCGGCTAATCAACCCGCTCAAGGAGGAGCGGCCGCGGAGGAGCAACCAAGGACCATTGGTTACTACATGGCTCCAAAGGCGGCGGATATTCAACTCGCCATCGACATCCACCCGTGGCCGCCAAAATTTTTTAGATCAAGCCCGCTCTTGTCAGCATGATTAGAAACAATGCCCTATTCCATGGCTTAGCAACGAGTCTCCAAGGGAGCATGTTCAGAAGTTTATTGAACTTGGAGGGAGTTTGAAGATCAATGGTGTCCCCGAGGATGCTTTGTAGTTGAAGCTATTCCCCTACTCTCTTGCGGGGAATGCATCTCGGTGGTTCAACAATAGGCCAGCTCTCTCAATCAATTCATGGGATGATATGCTCAACAAGTTTATGACTCGGTATTGCCCACCTTCAAAGATGGCGGAGTGGCGCAAGAAGATCACCCACTTTGAGAAATAGGAAGATGAGACATTGAGGGATCAATGCTTGGGAATGGTACTCCAGCTACTTCCTCCAATGGCCACACCATGGATTTGAGGAGAAAATTTGGATTGAGACCTTCTATGGCGGTCTCCGCCAAGACGACAAGATCTTCATTGACTCATTCTGTCAAGGGACGTTGATGAACATCACTCCACCCCAAGTGACCGAGTTGCTTGAAGACATGACAAGTAAAGGGTGTGATCTGGGCTTGAAAAGAAGTGGAAAGAGAAGCACCACAAGGGGAGTGCAAAGTGTAGGAGCGACTCCCCCGCTTGAAGCTAAGATTGATCGGTTGATTGATGCACTCCTAGAGGATAAGAAGCATGGGAAGAGGCCGGTTATGGCGTGTGATTGGTGTTCAAGTACCAACCACGAGATTTCAGATTGTCAAATGATGAAGTAATCAAGCACCGCCAAGGAGCAAGTGAGTTTCATTGCCAATGCTAGGGGGGACAACTCCTATAACAATACTTACAACCCAGGGAGGTGAAGTCATTCGAATTTCTCCTTGTCTTCTCCGACCAACCCAAGACCCCCCCGGTTTCCAAGGACTTACGGAAAATTATCAACCAAGGCTTACTTTCATTCAAAAAAGGCCGCAATTCCGAGGCTCTAACGTCCAACAACCGTTTCAAGGAGGTCA